TATATATATATATGGCTATATACTATATGGCTATATCTGTCGGTCATTGTCTGTCTATATCATCTACTGGGAGTATCGAGGCATAAATGGTAGCGGAGAACTGAGGGAGGTTGCCTCTGCTGCAGCCGCTGCAGGATCGAAGGTCGGGGTCTGCCCATTGGCTTCGTGGTTTTTGGCTTAGGGCTTTAGGGTTTAGGGGNNGGTTTAGGGGTTTAGGGGTTGAGAGGGTTTAGGGTCTAGCTCAGGGCTATGGGATTGAGACTTAACTTAAGTGTATATGTGGTAGAAATACAGCCTGTGGCTTAGGGTCTAGAAGCAGGATGTTTGGTGCAGAGTGAAAGGTTTTGGGCCTAGGCGGCTCAATTTCAGGCGGTCGGGTTTGGGACTTAGTGTTCGGTTTCAAACACCTTCTGTGATGCTGTACCTATATATGAGCTCCTAGCTGCTAGCTCACAACGCTACGGCGAAGCATCGCATGCCGCTTTAGGTCCTTTCCTGCCGTAATGTGCATGGGTTTACGGCTGGGGTTTGGCGACACAAGACGGATCCCAAATGCCCAAATGTTAAGTCACCCTTTTCCCTAAACCCTAAACTCAAAGACTAGGAAGAATTGAAGACATGACTCCTCGATGCGCTCGCTTGGGGCCTGCTGAAGTCTGACACCTAAGCCCTAAGTAAACCCGAGCAGCCCCTCTTACCCCCCCTTGAAGCCGACGCAGTTGAAAGACCCTGCAAGCGAATCGGTAGAAACATGAAAAAGCGTTATCGAAGGCCTGCACGGGATGTATGGTTTCGGCACTCGCATTCGGCATGGTACTTCGAAACCATTCTCTACACGCAGCAAGCGATGCGATAGCAAGTCCAGGCCCAACGGAATCTCATCCGCAGAGAATTATGTGAGGCTTCAAAGCAGCATGTCTACAGCCGTCCTCTGTCCGGGACGCAGAGCGGTCCAACTGCAGTGGTACCTTGTTGAGCCGTTTAGTGCCTAGCAAGTATGCATGTGCACCCCCACACACATCTAGATAGGCAGAAGATCGCTACATAGATGGACAGATATTTACATTTATACATATACACGATATACATTTACATAAGCACATGCCAGCAAATCTCCTCAAACATGTAAACCTACTCTGGTGGGACGCGCCGGCAGTTAAACAGCAGGCAGAAGGACGCCTCACGTTTCCACTGTTGTTTATTGTACGCATCTGAGGAGAAAGTTGAAGAACAGGAACTACAGGGTTTGAATAATTCATCAGCTTTGAGTTAGGCTTTTCACCGCCTGCCTGAGGGGATGCAGGCATGTTACAATGTTGTGCTTCATCAGTTTAGCAAGGCTTTAAACGGGCGCCGTCAGCCCCTGACTTCGTCTGGACCTGCATCCCTACGCCTGACTGCCTAAGCCACAACCACAGACCTCGACATAAGCACATAACTCCGTGAGCCTTCATTGATCTCACAGCAGCCACCTTCCGAACCTAGCTGATGACTTGCCAGGCACACAGATCAGCCCTTTATATCTGGTGGATTGCAACATACCCGTGGCGATTGCAAGTTCCCTTTTGCCAGCTACAGTTGAAGCAATATCCTCATGTCTGGGCCTCCATTTCGGTGACCAGCTCGGCAGGCACCTCAACCTGAATGAACGAATCGGAAACATTTTCAAGATATCAGGTTAGGCTTAGGGATTCGGAACATGGGCTGTTTCTTCGTGTCTTGCCTGTCTTGCGCGTGTCTCGCGACTTGATCGGATGTCTGCTCTGGATCTATGATAATTAGTCCATGCAGCCGGTGATTCCAACGGCAATACAAACACATCAACGCTAACCCCCGCCCGTAACCACAACTAAGTACTCAGAATGCCGGCGACTGCCCAGAGTGCCCTTTGAGCTGATGAGGGTTCGATCATGATTTGCAGAAAGAAACCAGAACGAATAACTTTCAGTGACGGCCCTTTAAGAATCCAATTCAAGAGCTCTCCCGGTACGCCTCTGAAGGAGGCGGAGGGGCCACCTCAGCACCAGAAAGAAAGCAGCAGCAGCTAACCACAAATGCTAGTGAAGCAGACAAGCGGTTCTCTATCATTGATCCACAAAGGCCCTTCGTCACTCTGTAAGGGAGGCTCAGGGTTTCGGGCTGGGCCATCCCCTGCTTGAGCGGGAGATTCTGCTTCACGTGTTGACATTAAGAGTCGGATCTTTCCTAGTGTGCCCGCTGCGGCGGCATGAGTCAATCATCGTCAGCTGATGGGGGCTCTATCATAGCGTGGCAGTTCCGGCCGCGCTTCCGTTTCTCAGTTGGAGACGCGGCAGGGGTCGCGAACATATACAACGTAAGCTGTGTGCATAAACCTGTGCTTGCGTGGTATATCAACTTGCAAGAATGGATGTGCATTTTCAGGGAGACGGAATCCAATACGTTTACAAAGTCACCCATGCTCAGTAGGCTGACTGGGCACGGGACTTTTTTGGGCAGGACTCCTGATGTCAATTAAAAAATCTAGAAGACCATAGCAAAACAACGCAGTTTACAGATATATTTATTTACATCGTAAACCAGGGTGATGCCGCACCGTGTAGTATGAGGCCTGAACTCCCAACAACAGTCGATCAAATCTCGGATCTACAGGTCTCTGCTCTGTTGCTATTGGTTCAAGTTGTTGTACCGTTTTTGGGAGACCTGTGCTCCCAAGAGCATCACCCAAACACCCTGGGCAAAGCTCTAATCTCAAAGCCCTAACGTCTAAACTTCCAGATCCTAAACCGTGATAAAAATCCCTAGAGCCCAAAGTCGTAGGGGCCGAGTACCCTAGCCCTAGCCCCAAGAAGGCTATATCAACCTCTTCAATCACGGCAGGCCTAAACCCTAAACCCTAAACCCTAAACCCTAAGCCCCAAAAGGTTCCCAAAAGGTTCAAGCCCAAATCCCAAAGGCCTCGAGCCCTGACAAGCCTACCCATATAGGCCCCATAGTAGTTCCTTTTTGGGATTACCTTATAGGATTCTATATATGAGCCTCAAAAGGGGACTACTTTATAGGATTCTACAAAATGAACCCCCCAAAAAGGGGACTACTTTATAGGATTCTATATATGAACCCCAAAAAAGGACTACTTTATAGGGCCTATGCCCTAAACCCTAAACCCTAAACCCTAAACCTTATGCCGCTGCCTAAAACCCAAAGCCCCGGCGCCTCTACGGAGGCCAAGGTTGGCGGCAGCGTCGGGGTCGAGTCCACCTGCCCGAAACTCGTCGTTTAGGGTTTAGGGTTTAGGGTTTAGGGTTTAGGGTTTAGGGTTTAAAGTTTTACGGTGTGTTGTGGTGTTCAATGCTTGTTTTTTGTTTGATGTGCAGGTTTTTTTAAGGGTTTTTTTAGAAGTTAGGGATCTTCTGCGAGGGCTTCGGGCCAAGGGGTTTGGGCATCCTTCGCAGAATCCTTCGCGCTGCCATTATGATGCAATTTGCTCATGCCATTTTTGTAGGGAGTTCAGCTTGGTCACTGCGCCGTGGTATGCTATAGACCCGGTCCGAATGCGACCAGGCCGCCCGTATGACTCATGTGCTCTCGAACTGGGGGTTTCCGAAAATAGGGGACCCTACTGTAGTACCCTAAATAATAGGATCCTTAATATAAGGACCCCAAAATAAGGTACCCCTTATTTTCGGAAACTCCCAACTTACTTCGTGGTGTATCTGGCTCCTGAAGTGCAGGATGTAACGGGAAATCTCGTCTGAAGCATCCTAGGTGTGGTTGCAACATAACCTTGAGGCCGTGAAGGTCGATGATACTGCGGTTCACAAAGATGGATGCGAGACTAGTCCCTCAAGCCTCAGAGCTACATCATAGTCACCTAGACTTCTAGTGCCGTCGTACAATTCTCTCCGTGTCACCTTCTCTCTTGAAACTCGACCCTGATCCTGCGTCCTCACACTAGATTCCTAAACCCAATAAGCCGAAATCCCGTGAGCTTAATGCAAGACGCCTTCGAGCTAACTTGTCCTCGGAACTGCTTCAACCGCGATTCCATTTCTACCCGCTTCAAGCTCCACTTCAACTGGGGGCTTCTCTGACCCGAGCTTTCGGTACCTATCAAGCCAGGACTGTGGCTCTCGATCCCATCCTCCACATCTGTCGGAACCGCGTGTGGCAGCGAGATCTCCGCCTGCGCAGGCCAGAAGCTGGCAGAGGCCCTCTCGGTGGTTACCCAAAACCTGCTGTGTCGGCCCCCGGAAAACCCCGAAGCCTTTTTAAGCCCTGCAACCTGACAGCTCTGAGTTGGAGTTGTTGTTATTCCACAGAAGTCAGACCCTAGACCCTAGACCCTGAATCCTCCAAACCCTAAATCCTAGAATACATACCTTCGGCCACCTCCCTCGTGCTCGACGGGGCAGGAGAGTCTGGGATGGCCTCGGCAGGGAAGCTTCGGGGGAGTTCGGCTTGCAGAAGCCTCGGATTTATGCCTTTTGCTAGGGATGAGGATCCTTGATCTTACTCTTAACGTCGGGGGATTTATGCACACTCTCAGAACTCGGACAAGCCATCTCTGAGGGGATGTTTAAAGCCTCTGTGGAAGATTCAGGGGCTTTTTGGTAGGGAGCTGCCAGATCTTTCTCGTACTAATATGGCTTTAGGGTTTAGGGTTTCGGGTTCCTGCTAAGATCCTTCTTATACTGGTCGGTAATGTCGAAGGTATTCCTTGGGGGGTCTTTTACTTTCTGCTCGAAGGCTTCAGGGGGAGAGCCTTTCAGGTAGCGTCTAAGATGTAGGGGTTTGCGGTGTAGCCCTCGGTCATGAGGGGATCTAGAGTGCGTTTGATCTTGCCGGGTTGGGGCCGCTGATAGGGCTCGGTCACTAGACGAAGAAGAAATTGAAAGCATGCTGTTGATGGGGCCAACATGCGTGTGGAACTCGGCAGCAAGCAGCCAGTAGGGTTGCTTTTCCCAACGCCAACTGGCCAGGTTGGCACTGACTGTGGTACGTGCAAAACAGACTACTGAACTCACGCATCGCTGTGCAAAGCCAAGGCCCCCGGGTTCTTTAGAGGTGTGAGGGCTCCATGCTCCACATGGGGGTTTCCGAAAATAGGGGACCCTAATATAGTGCCCCAAATAATAGGACCCTTATTATAAGGACCCCCGAAATAAGGCACCCCCTGTTTTAGGAAACTCCCACATCTAGATACAAGTAATGGAGGTTTAGGATTAAGGGTTCACGAGGAGCTGGGGCACCAACACCTGCAGCCTCAGGATCTGACCTTCACCGTCGCCAAAGCGGAAGTGGCAGACATCGAGGCCTGGCGGGAAAGAACTCTACATGGGAGTTTCCGAAAATTAGGGGTACCGTTTTTTGGGGTCCCTTGTAATAAGGATCCTATTGTTTGGGGTACTATCTTGGGGTCCCCTATTTTTGGAAACCCCCACATGGCAATCTTCGAAAACATGGCCTCTGGGATCTGGATTTTTGAGATAAGCTGGCCTCCGCAACGAGCTCGCGCTGGCAGGGCTACAAACTCACTAAGCTGCGCTCTTCTGGCACGAACCACCCGTTTTTTTGTAAAACTTTCGCCGTCTGTCAGATGACAGTATAATATAGGGGCCTTACTCATTAGAACAAGGTTCTGGGGTGCTGTATACTATACTTATAGAATACAAGAGCCCTATACTACCAGCGTCACGGAAGGTAGCGGGGCGCAGCTTGGGGACTTCCTCAACTTGTCGTGAGCACAGGAAACAACAGACCAAGGCCCTGCTGCGTTTCCCTGAACCTACCACAGGATGTACAGTGAGCAGGAGACGAGCCAAGAATGTAGGGTTTCGAGGGTGTATATTATACCTATAGTCTCCATTGTAGTTCCTTTTGTTGGTTTAACCAAATGTAGATTAAGGATGTTATAAGGTATCCTCAAAAAGGAACTACAATGGAGACTATAGGTAGGGTCTTATAGCCTACCATAACCTGATATTTGGTAGGATTTCCCATAAATATCCAGGGAAACCGGACACGTCCCTCGCGGCTTGCGTCTCAACCGCTGGCTCAAAAGTAAGCTCTTGACCCTGAAATCCTCTCCACCACGGGTCCCTGAGTAACAATACCAATAGCACCAACCAGCGCCGATAATCTCAAAACCTTCTAGGCTCCCGATGTAGAGAACCTGAACAAGATCGGGGGCTCCCACATAATCCGCATACAGTGCCATTAACCAGCAACAGAAGTAAACTGTAGACTGCAAGGGCATGGTAGGAAGTGCTGCTTTGCCTGCGCATGTTGGTCCGGCATGGGCGCGGGTTCCGGCCTTTGAGAGTTGGGGTTGTTTCGGATTATTAGTATGAATATTATTATTATGATTATGATTATTATTCGGTCCTTTGATTTTTGGGGTTTCGGCCGATTCTAGGATTTCGGAGTGCGGAGACTACGGGATTCGTGCTCCAGGGTGAAGGATCCCGGGCTCAATGGCTTTGGCTTGCATTCCTTCACGGCCTAAGCTTATGCTTGAACTTATGGTTGCGAGGCTGAGGATGTGATTCCGTCTGGCGGGGATAGTAGGAGCGTAGGGCTGCAGGTCAACAGCCAAAACCAGAAACCCTAAGCCCGACTTTCCGATTTACTCCTTAACCTAAGCCCCTACACGCTACACTCTAACCTGGTCCGGGAAAGGTGGGGTAGTGGTTGGTAGAAGAAGCAGTAGTAGTCGTAGTCGTAGTCGTAGTCGTAGTCGTAGTCGTAGTCGTAGTAACAGTCGCAGTCGCAGCACTGTAGCAGTAACAGGGACGGAACCGATTTCAGCCGCGGTGGTGGCAGCGGTAGTGATCGTCATGGTCAAAAGTCGCATGCAGGTAGTACTAGCAGTTACTAGCACCAGCAAGTGACTCTAGATAACTGTGCACCACTGAAATCAAAACTCACACGACGCTGGGGATCAAACCCGTTGTTCATCCCGTGCGCCCGCGCAGCCTGGAAGTCGTTGGGGCTTCCGATTTGGAGTTTTCGCTTTGCTTCGACTGTCCCTCAGATTGGCCTCCGGTTGCGAGTTTTGGTTTTTTCCGCCCTTATTGCTCGACGAAACAGGTAGCTTCAGGGTGGGCGTACTTGGGGTTCAGAGAGAGAGCGTTGGATGGCGCAACTTGTGACAACTCCGTTGGAGTCAAATCCTCAAGGAGGCAAGGCTTCGGTGGACCAGCAGGGGCTTAGGGCTCAGGGCGCCCGATCGTACAATCCTGCTGTAGGCAACAGGCAAATATGTCGGCAAGTTCCTGTGGGAAAAAATAAAAGAATGTAAAAGAGTTGCAGGCATGCTACGTCTCAAGCACGGCCCGCCTCATCAGAGTCCTCCAATTCCACCACCTCGCCGATGTGTGAGGGGATCGGAGGTGCGACTCTGATTAGACCCGCAGCAGCAAGCCTTTGTTGCTGTTCGACGCATATGCACTAGCTGGAAATTCTACATATCAGGCTGCCATGTATGCAACATACGTTCATGCATACTGACAGTAGTTAATGTATCAGCCACGTCAGACGGCGACATGCACTCTGACAGTAATCGGGAAGACTCGTACCACATATATACCTTTAACCGCAAACATAGTATGAACGATAATGACAATCATAATAATAGTTATAGTAACAGTAGTTAGCAAAAAGAAGTCTTATCGCTATAGTAGTAGTAACCTTGAAGCCCTGCGAGGCCCTGAACTCCCTGATTGGCACCTCCGGAGTCCTCGGCCGCAATGTCGGAGTTGCGGGGGCCTCTGGGCTAAGCTATCTTTTGTCTTGCCCTGGCTCTCCTGTAGCGACCTTAATAATTAGAATAGGGTTTTGGGGCCCATGATACTACAGCTATAGTAAGGAACCCCCAAAATACAGGAAATTACATTAACGACACAGATCTTCTGCACCTCGGGTGAACAGACCAAGTAAACAGTGTTTCAGGCTTAGGGTTCGGGGCTTAGGGCGTGCCGCTGTTCAAGCAGATCGAGATCTATGAAACCTCGGGTCTGCGATGTGCAGATGAGCCGCACGGGCAAATTTTCCCTCTCTTTTTTTCGAGGCTTGCTACAGGACCCTTACTACCTAACTTGGTGATTAGAAACAGTTTTGGGGTGTATGTTATAGTAGAATTGCAATAAGGAGCCCTCAGGAATACCTGTGCTGAGTATGATTGCTTCTCATTCTAAAGTAAACGGAGCCGGCATCCCGAACTCCAGGTGCACTAAGGCACACGCCGGTCTCTCCGTCTCAGGCAGATGTCGACCTCACCAGCATTCGGCATGAAACGGAAGGTAAGGAACCAACAACACGACTACTCTTGAGCCGCCGATTTCAAACCTGCCGCAAACCTGCTAAATCGTACGCCTAAATGCCTAAAGCACTAAACAGCACATCCGAAAGCCCCACAACCCCAAACCCGAAACTTGGCGACCCTGACCCTTAAAAACCCTTAAACCCTAAATCCCTCTCAGACCCTTAAGCCGCTCCTTTCGCAGACCCCAATGACGATCCCAAACTACCGAGGAGAGGAGCGAAGCCAAAATTCCCCCCGAGGGCTTCGATCGGACTCCCGGGTCCCAATGGGGATTTCCGAAAATAGGGGACCCTGATATAGTACCCTAAATGGTAGGATCCTTATTATAAGGACCCCAAAATAAGGTACCCCTAATTCTCGGAAACTCTCATATTGCGATTCGTAATTAGGATTTGCTCGTTCGTATCCTATATATGCCTATTGCCATTGCCATGCTGTGACTGCTAGGACTATTAGGGTTATGATATTTGTAACTAACTCGCGCATGCTAGTGCTATCCCTCTCTATCTGAACCATCAAATGCAATCATTTCGGTAACCCTAAACCCTAAACCCTAAACCCTAATTCCACGAAGGGACCTGGGCTCGGCTCTGGCGTGGACGATTGGGTGCGGCCTCGGCGACGGGTTGTTGGGGCGGCGTGAAGTCTTCAAGGACCTGTTTTCGAATAACTCCGAAAACCAGAAAAGTGACCGAGAGAAAACAACTCCTGCAATCCAGGGTCTAGGTAGTGCCCACCACAGAAGGAACTTAGGAACTTCATGTACTTCGGATCCAAACTAGTATAGGACCCATAAAGTAGAATCCCCGAAACCCCTAAACCCTAAACCCGGACTGCCCAAGAGTTCGGGCCCAAGTTCGGCGTTTTCGGCAGTGCCTCGCAAGCACAAACTCTCGCGGAGGTTCAGGGTGATAAGATTGGGTTTAGGGTTTGGGTTTGGGGCT